AGTCCTGAGACTGAGCAGTAACGCAGTAGGAGTCTCTTGTCCTTCCCAGTTGGCACACTTTTTGCCATCACCAGCCTTGACACCTATAGTCTCCCTGGGAGACCTATAGTCAATGGGATGCCAATTGTGACTAGAAAAAGTCCATTTGGGGATGTCCCAAGACCAGTTTTTCTCCAGTGAAAATGCCAGGCATGAGGAGGTATGACTTCAGAAGTCTCACTGCGAAAGTCAGTTACTGCAGCAAACAAAAACAGGGATGTTGGGGACAATAGGGTGTTAGGGAATCACTTGGTCTGAAAATCAGGCATAGTAGTTTTGTAGCAGAGAGGAACAAAACTCATTAAAAATTTTAACTTGGTGCTTGCATAGCACCTAACAATTTTCAGCCTTCATTATATAGTGAAAAATGAGAGGAGCTTAGGGACCAAATGCTAGAAGAGAACCTCTTGGAACTTCAGTTCCTTATCTGCTCTATGAGAATAATGTTTATTGAAGTGTGATGGATTAAGCTGAGATGAGGGGTTGAAGTAGGCCAATGTGTATGGGATGTTGGTATAGCACCTGACACATGGCTGGTACTCGTTTGCTCCACTAGCACCTGACCGGTACTGTGACTGCTGTTGATAATGCAAATCTAGCCATCCAACACCCAACCATACAGACACTCCTTCAGGCTAAGCAGCACTGCCAGCAAGACACAATTGTCCTCCTAACTCAAACGGCCCCCAGAGGGGCAATCCCACAGCAGGGCATTTCCCCCATTTATTTTACACATTCCAGGTGTCAACCCACTTTGGGTTATAAGATGAGTAAGATATGCCTCCCTCCTTCAGGAAGCTTATAGTCCTTTCCATGGTAGCACACTCAAGTATTTGAAGTTTTGCAATGTTTTAAACTTACACCTTTGCCAAGCAAGGTCACTTGAGTCAGCACTGGGGAGAACCCTTCCTAGCACACAGGATGAGGATTGCCTCAACCATATGGAGACAGTCATCCCTGGATCACAAAGAGGAGGCCCCTTCCTTGGACGAAGACTTGACAAGTCCTGCTCTTTAGAAATGAACTCTTGTTCTACCACCACAGTGCTCTGCTTCCCTGGTTGACCTCTCTCTTTCTGCTGTTCTGGACATTAGCTTAAGAATGGGCATGACAGAAGGAATGAGGGAGAGACTCCTAGCCTTCTGCACTTAGCTGTTTGGAGACACTCTTACACTTTTAAAAATGAAAAGGGAAAGGGGCCATTTGTAAAAAGGGGCCTAAGAGGTTGTGATGAGATAGAAATATTCCAGGTGGGGGAGGCGGCTTCTTCTGCTGCAGACCCTGTATTTTCTCTCATGTGACAAGAGCTAATTTTAGAAAAATGGTTCTCAAAAGAAAATGACTCTCGAAGGCCATTATGAGACTTGAGTGGCTCACTATAACTCACACACTAAATCTTTATGATTTCAACACTAAAATAAATACCTAGATTTAAGATTAGTCCAGACAACTCTCTCTCTCTCTCTCTCTCTCTCTCTCTCTCTCTCACACGAGCATTTCTCAGACCCTCAGAAAACCTGACCAGCTGGTGGTTGTAGCAGATGCATGGGTCAAAGTGTGTTTTAAAAAAAGAAAGAGACTCCACTCAAGAAAACTGGTGATAAAGCTTACCTACAAGGCCTGAGAGAGACATCATTAAAGTGGCAAGACCTAGAATTAACCTCTGTTCGCCCTTGAACAAAGTAAGTAGTTAGCTGCATTGTGATGTCCTTCTACAGCACTGTTTACATTTCATAATTTCACCTGACAATGTGTGATACGTTGTGCCCTTTAGAAGATGTCATTTCTTTCAGAACAACTTGAAGGAGAATTTAAACACCCTTTTGTAGTGGTCTGAATATCCAGAAAGTGATGCAACTCATTTCTTTGTTTGGGAATCAGTGTCTAAGGTATGATCACCCCTGACTGCCTAGACCAGGACAATCAAAATCATCTCCAGCAGTGCAGCCCTTTTGATTTTGCTGCAAAAATAGAAGTTTTCCAGAGGCTTGGCTAGAAAAGGAGCAGAATAGGAGAAGGGGATGGGAATGGAAGAAAAGTAGTGTCTACAGGCAGAGAAGAGCCACTGGGGATGGCAAGCTGCCCACTGCCAGGTAATAAGCTAGAGCGGCTGTGGAAAGGACGAGAAAGCCATACTGTGTCCAGCAGGTGTATAATCTTGCCAGAGCTCTTCCCAGGGGAAAGCTGGCGAGAACTCGACAGCCTCAGTCACTTAAACCACCTTCCACAAAACTCATGTGAAGGTCTGATTAGGGAGCACTTGTCCACCGGCACCTGGGGACAGATGACTTGCCTGATGGGCCTCTTATACATTCCTGATGCCATTTAGAGCATACCAGCTAATGACGGCACATAGCAATGAGTGTAACAGATGATGGTGGAAGCTAAGCACGATGATAGTTCAGATGTACTGAATTAAGGAAAATATGCTTTTCTATTGCTTAGCCAAACCTCCCTCCCACATGGAAAAGAACAATGCATGGCTTTAATTTGACGATGTCTCCCACTTCTGTCCTGGATCCCTTACAAATATTCCAATGACAGAGACCTGGGATTAGTAGAGTGGCTTCTGTAGCATTTTGCTAGCACAGGATTTGCTGTGGCCTTGGGATTTAATCATTTTGGAGAATGTTCCCTTAATTAGCAACAGAAGGCTCACAGATGCAGAAGTTGCAGCAGAGGCTTTGGGATTCTTCAAAGTTGGTGTCTAATGGGAGGCAGAAATGCCACTTGTTTCTACAATTACCGTGCTTAAGGAGCTGCATCTGTCTTACCCGATGAACAGTCATCATTGCTGCTTGCATTGGGCTCCTTATTTCTTTTGTGGAGCTTAGAAACACATATCCTGTCACCTTCTACTTCCTAGCACATGAGGCAGGAAGAACAAGAACAAGCTGTCACAGGGGTCCTGGGCCCATGGCAGGCCACTCTGTGGGCTTCTTTCTGTGTGACCCCAGATACCCTCTGATTACTCTCCTCCTTATCGTGTCTGCCATCATCTCTCTTGACAGATAAGGCTTCTGTGTATTTCTTCAGCCTAGAACTAGGCCGGATCTGATCCTCTGAATCTTCCATGATATCAAACAGATTCACTTTCTCACCAGGCTCATGCAGCTTCCTGAGGCCACTGAACTAAACAACATGAAGTCATCTGCTGCCCAGGGAATGGCCCAAGACCAGAGGTTTCTGACTGCTCTCAACAGCTCAAGACTTTGTTGTTTTCCTTATTTCACATCCCCCCACTCTCCAAACACCTCACCTTTGTCTCTGTGTTTTAAAATTGTTTTATCAAGTGAATGCTGAAATGAGAAACCTGTTGCTTATTCGTTAGTTGCCCACCAAAGCAGCTGTTCAGTGCAGGGAGACCAGGGGGTGGTAATTCCCAGCCAGAAGCAGGAAGACAGGCTTCTAAATTAGCAACTGCAGCCTTGGTATGGTATGATAAAGAGTTCTTCTGGTCTGTGTCCTGGGATCCTAGTCTGGAGCTTCTGAAACTCTTGGAACTTCCTGAGTGATAAGACTGTGCTTGTTGTGCTAAATGAGGTGACTCAGAGACCCTTCGATGGCTTCAGGTTGGGGATGAGTCACCAATGATAAGATTTGAACTTTGGTCTAGCCTGGCTTTCAGGAAAGAAAGGCAAGCTGGAGATTGAGTTTACTCACATGGCCAGTGATTTAATCAATCATGCTCATGTAATGAAACCCCAATAAAACCTATGGCACTAAGCTCGGTGGAGCTCTCTGGCTGATGAAATTTTGATAGACTAGGAGGTGATATCCCTCCAGATTTAACCCTGTATGTCTCTATTACTGTAAAACTGAAATTACAAGTTCAGCACCTTCCTGACTTCTGTTAGTCATTCTAACAAACTCTCAAACCCTATGAATGTTATAGGAACTTCCAGATTAGAACCTGGATCATCAGAAGTATGGATGGCCTGGAGACCCCACAGGCAGCTAGCATCTGAAGGCAGTTTTGTGGATACAGGACCCCCTAACTTGTGGAGTCTGCACTGACTCCAGGGAGTATGTCAGAATTATTTTGTAATAGACACAGTTGTGGAAACAGAATAATTGTCATTAAGGGTAATAATTGTCATTAAATAACTTGCAATACTTGAAGCCGTTTTTTAGACCTTTTGTCAGCTTGAAGCACTGAGTGGACAGTTAGGCAACTGACATAGATACCTATCAAAGTTGGCCTCAGACTAAACTTTACCAAACTGTCCATTATCAGCTCCCAGTGAGCTGTGTACAGAACTGCACAGTAAACACTTAGACACTTTGACAGCAATTGGACATTGTCTTGACATTCAGGCATAAATGGAAGAAATACAAAACTATATCAGACAGTGACAATTTGGAGGATCATGATCCTTTAACACAGAGAGTTTGAGAAGTCTAATTTAGAAAATACAACTTTAGTTGATATGAGCAGATGGAAACAGAGTTGAATGTTAAAAGCATGAGCCCTAGAATTCAGCAGATGGGTTTGGGGAGACCATGCAGAAACAGACATGGTGATCAGCCCTTACAAATGCACAGGTGCTGTTAAACCTATGAGCTCAGAGGCCTTGGCAGACTGCTAAGCAGATAAGAGCAAGGAACTAGCTTCCTTCCCCCACTTTGCCTAGCCAAATGGAATTCTCTGAAGTCAGATGCAAAGGACATTGTTCCTGCTAAGCCGCTAGCTGCACAGTGGCTCTCAATATTGCCAGGCAGACATGTCTCTGAGTCACCTGAGAAGGGCTCTTCTCTCCCTGAGACCCTTTGATGTGCACAGGTCAAGAGGCCAGGCTGGGATCGACATGATGCCTGGATTTAGCAATACCGCTGATAACAACTCTGGTTTCTGATGCTCCTTCCCAGCCTCCCCAAACCCTGCCCATGCTGGGTGGTCCCCAGAAATATCCGACCAAGTGTCCCAGGTGGACTAACTGTAGCTCCTGGTTGTTTTTCAGGTTCCTCCTGCCTCCCACTGCTGTAGGACCCCGAGGTGCTGGTCCACGAGGTCTGCCATGAAACCACACTTGAAACAATGGAGACAACGAATGCTCTTCGGAATATTTGTTTGGGGACTCCTGTTTTTGGTAATTTTCATCTACTTCACAGACAGCAACCCTGCGGAGCCTGTGCCCAGTTCCTTCTCCTTCCTGGAGACCCGAAGGCTGGTGCCCATCCAGGGCAAGCAGCGAGCCATCATGGGAGCTATGCATGAGCCCTCCTCGCCAGGGAGCTGGGATGCCAACAAGGCGCTGCCAGGTGTCCCCCCTGCTGGCCCCTTTCACACAGGGCCTGAGGACCCACAAAAATGGGCTCAAGCCCCAGATGGGTTTGAAAATGGAGAGGAATTTTTTTCATCCCAATTCGGGAGGAAATCTCAAAGTGCGTTCTACTCGGAGGGCGACGAATACTTTTTCGCTGCGGGTCAGCCAGGGTGGCACAGCCACACGCCAGGGACATTGGGGTTCCCCTCCCCAGGGGAGTCATCCCAGCGGTCTGGAGCGGCCCAGAGGAGGCGGATGAAAAGGAGGCACCCGAGGCCAGGAAAGAGCCGCACGTTGGTGGACGACGACGACCTGGACAGGCTGTCCGCCTCCATGTCTAGGGCCTTCCTGTATCGGCTCTGGAAGGGGAACGTGTCGTCGCGGATGCTGAACCCTCGCCTGCAGAAGGCCATGCGGGACTACGTGGCCGCTAACAAGCACGGCGTGCGCTTCCGCGGCCCGCGCGAGGCGCGGCGGAGCAGGGCTGAGCTGCTGTGCGAGCTACGGCGCCGCGGCCGCGTGCGCACCCTGGACGGCACCGAGGCGCCCTTCTCCGCGCTCGGCTGGCGACCTCTGGTGCCCGCCGTGCCGCTCGGCCAGCTGCACCCGCGCGGCCTCCGCAGCTGCGCCGTGGTCATGTCCGCCGGCGCCATCCTCAACTCCTCGCTGGGGCAGGAGATCGGTGCGTCCCACGGCGGCATGGGCGCCCGTCTGGGGCCGGGGGAACGGGTGTGGACATGGGGGTGGGCGGGCGGCGGTTAGCAGAGGGCCCCAGGGGCTCCACTCCCCGCCCTCTGCTGCCACCGTGAGTCAGTCTGGGGCCCAGCAGAGGTGTTCTTGGAGCAGGGTTTCAAGGATCCTGGGGACAGGAACGGTGCGCTCCCCATCGAGAGTGCTGGTGGAAGTGGAGGCAGCGCCACCACTTTTCACTGCTCATGGCCGAAGAAACCATGGTCTACATCAGTAGGCTGCCGTGATAGCCCCAAAGAGCCGAGTAGCCCATCTGTGGTGTAATAGCGGGGAGGACAAGGGCAGGAGATCACTTAGTGGTACCCAAAAGAGGACATGTGACGATCGTTTCGACTACTTTACAGACCAAATCCAAGTGTAGGGCTCTGAGAAAAGCCAGACTGCTGTGGAAGACATGGTTCCCACGGGAAGTGGGCTCTGGCCTGCCGACTCTTGGCACAAGCCCAACCTTTGGGTCGGAGCCAGTGCACACAGTGAGGCCCTTCTCCAACATGGTAGACCTGCCTTCAAATCTGTGTCAGGACCCTGCAGCGCATGTACTCCATAGGTTCTGTGTGGCTAAGGAGCTGGAGAGAAACTGGCCAGGAGGGTAGAGAGAAACGAGAGAGCTTTCTTTTTAGGAAGTTGCAAGTCTGCATTTTGTAGGCCATGCCAATGGGTGGGAAACTCAAACAGGGTTCCTATGTTGCATTCTTGAGGCAGAGTTTCTTCCTTCCTCAGGAAACCTCCACTTTGTTCTTAAGTCCTTCAAGTGATTATGTGATGACCACCTATCGTGTGGAGAGTATTCTGCCTTCCTTAAAGTCTACTGATTTAAATGTTAATTACATCTTAAAATATATATGTATATATACCTTCATGGTGATACCTAGACTGCTGCTTGACCAAACAAGGTAGGCACAGGCTACCTAAGGTGGCACATTAGCAATAACCATCATAGCTGCCTAGCAGTCTTCATGGAAGACCTGGGTACTAATATCTCGTGGTTGAAGGGAGTGGAGTGGGGTGAAGTACATTCTGTCTCATAGAGTGAATTTACTTCTCATAGGCCTTGCCCTGTCTGTGCTGGCATTGGCTCTCCACAGAATTCTGTCCTCATTTCCCCACCTTCCCAGGCTCTAACCCATCCTTGCTACAGAGACACATTCATTAGCCTGTCAACTGTCCCTGGAGCTCTTCTTTCAGACAGGAGCTTCTGATCCCTTTGTTCCCCAGGACCTCTGTCTGTGATCAGCTAATCCACCGCTGTACCAGTGAGCAAATATCTCAGCCCTATAGGACAAGTCATTCACTTACTAAGCATGTTTTCTCTATCTGTGTGCCTAGTTCCATATTCAGTACAGAAAACCAACATGGCTCAGACACAGCCTTGATCTCAAGTCCACAGCTAATGCATTCTGCCACCAGCAGTGCTAGGTGGGAGCTGTTCTGGAAGTCACATTTGGGTGCATCATTCCCTCATTACGAAGGAGTAATTGTGCTCAGGCTGTACTGCAAGCAGGCCCTTCAGTCCTCCTGTGTCCATGAAGAATGGATGGTGCCTGCAGCCATGTTAGAATAAGGTGCTGCCACCATAGGCAGAAAAAATGCAGACCTAAGCCCAGATGTGCTTGGAAATGAGACTGAATTGGAAAGTTTTTAAAGTTAAAAAGCCCCAAGACAAGAAATCTGGACTTGTGGTCTGGGGTCCCTGTATCTCCATGCTGATATGACAGCAAGCCCACAGTAATACTGTCCACGTGTCACATAAGCGTGTAGCCAACGCCAAAGCAAAACGGCCTGCAATTATTAAGAAAGAGCAGTGGTTTAGAGGTCCCCAGGGTGAAATAACACCAAGATTCGTTCTCATTTCTGAGGACCAACATTAATAATGTAGAGGAGGGATTTAGGTATTATGCTTTAAAGCAGGCAGTAACTCACTTCTGGTTTTGTGTTGTTTTAAACACTTCTGCATGGTAAATAGGTAGCATTTAGATAGCTCCTGCATCCCAGAGAGAATTCCCTTGCTCTTTATACCTGCATAAATATTCCTGTCCAGAGCCTTTTAAACTCTTCAGAATTTGGAATAGGGCATGAAAAACACTGGAGAGTGTGTTTCCGGGAAGCAGGAAATGCCTGCTTACATATTTGTTAGTACCTAGTATCCAAATCTAATCTATGCTGTATGCACTTATGAGACTTCATGAATAGAACTGGAAAATTACAAGTGAAGAGCACACTTTGAAATTTTTTTTTTAAATGTCTGTCTTGTTTTATCTAGTTTCCTTTGAATCAGATTGTGTACCTAGCATTTTCAAGACACACAACCCCGGCATGGCTCAATTTGTAAAAACGAAAAGCTTCATCTTTCTAAGCTGGTGTCTCAGCGTCAGCACTGTGTGGGCCAGGCATCAGCCTCTCTCCTGCTCACCCGGAGGTGGCAGTGCAGACTCACAGTCACTAATGGTTCTCATGGCAAAAACAGTCATGGAGCAGATTGCTGAGCCACCTTGGAAAGTTAGGTTGGCCCTTAATACCTGCCAGAGAACTGCCTAAGTGCAGAGGTTGTGATCCCATGAAAACTTGCAGGCGGAACTGGAAGGCACCTGAGGCAGGCTGTGCTTCTTCGCTCAGGCGGCCCCTTCATAATACTCACAGCTCCTTCCTTCCCTCAAAAGGGAGACCCACAATGCCTCCTGCCTCCCGTTCGCTGATTGGCTACCCTTTGTCTCCCCCTAGTGTTTGTTTCATGGGCAGTAAGTACTGCTCTGTCCCTGGACCCCCTTCTGTTAGATCAAGTCATATGGAACAATTATTTTGTGTAAGAAAGGTGTAACACTTGTAAACACTTCCACTTTGAATATGCTATTGAAAAGCAGCCTGAACTGTTTTGGAAACAAGGGACACTCTTCCCGGAGCCATGACACCTGATCAGCCATGCACCTAAGCAATATTACCTTGCTGATGAGGTTACTCCTAGCACTCCTGTGGAAGCCCTCCAGAGGAGAGAGATCTAGGTGGAAGACCAGGGCCTGCACATTAGATTCCTGAATTCTAGCAAGTGATGTGAAATGGGAGAAAGGAGATGCGGTGAAGTAGGTGTGTGGGGGATTGGAACCCATGCTACTTGCTGGGAAGAGCTTGGAGTTTGGCAAACTCTTGTTACCATAGCTTAAAAATGGTAAGAAAGCCGTCCATAATCATTCATTATTTATTGATCATGATTTCTCCAACAGACCCTGTGCTAGACAGAAAGATGAATAAGGCACAGACCCCGCCCTCAAAATCTGTGCAGTCCTAGGAGGAATCCAGACCTAGGAGGAATAAACAGATAGCTGTACTACCCTGTGGGTAGAAGAAGGACAGAGGGAGATATGGAGGCACACAGGGTAGAAAATGACAGTGGAATCCTAACCCATCTGAGGGCTGCTGGCTGGGTAGGGAGAGCAGAGGGCAGGAAAGACTGCTCCCAGAAGGAGAGGTCAGGCCAGATGCCCAGCATCATGGGGAGACATGAACCAGGACAGTGTGGTATGAAAGTGATCAAGCTGCAGGGAGTTTAGGGCAGGGATCAGGGGAGAAGCTGGGTGGGAAGGCAGTTGGGCAATGCATAGATGCCCTACAAAAACCAGACTTCACTCTATAACTGTAAAGTATCACAACTCAAGGGTGTTTCCCACAGACAAGATTTGTTCTGTTACTCTGGTGCAGCTTAAGTGTTAACTGTTGTATGCCTTACAGTGTAAGGGATAGATAGATAGATAGATAGATAGTGCAGTTCCACTTTATAAAAAGGAAATGGAGACACCTGGAGTCCTGTGGGCAAAGCCTGGACTTGAACCCTCAGTCTGGGTCTCAAAGAACTGAAGCTCTCACCTCTGTGCCCAGGACACAAAGGCAGTGAAGCAGTGGGGCCAATTTTTATTTTAGGAGATCACTCCTGAGCCTGGGTTTCAGGACCAGGGGAAGACAGTCAAGAGGTGAGGGGTGCAGGCCCATTGAAAGGGAGACAAGGGCCATGAGAATCAGGAGGAGTCCTGCAGACCATGGTCCTGATCCCTGCCAGCTATTTCCTGGTGGCTGGAGGAATGTCCTGTCTGAAAATGCTGTCTGAATTTGCATTTTCTGGCCAGCACAGATCCAAAGGAGGAGGAGGAAAGGGGAAGATGCAAGGTATGGGCCAAGGGTGATGTGATTAATTTGGAATTACTTTTCAATTTATTTGAGGTTACATCACTGCTTGGGACCTTGGCGTGCCCATCTGACCTCAGACAGTCTGTGTCATGGGTGGGCAGCATCATTTTCTAGGTGAGCTAGGATTGGGAAGTCATAGCCGCACACCTCTTCCCTGGCCTGTCACTGAGTCCTTCTGAACCCCCACGGGCCCCTCACTGTCTGGCATCCCCTCCCACTTCTTCCCTTCTGAGAGGGTTGTCCCACATCACCATTTCAAATAATGCAATGCATTTAGGGTTCCTATGACCCCTTCAGGTGTCCACAAGGTAAAAACTATTTTTGTAATAAAACCCCAAAGTCTTTTCTTTTGTAGCTCTGACATTTGCTCATGACATGAAAGCAGTGATGGAAAAAACTGCTGGCTTCTGAGCACCCATGGGGCAATAGCCCTATAACACTTGACATCGTAGTATTTTCACCATTAAGCATCGCAGTGGGGGGAAAGGATGTCAGTTGTGCATATAGATGGCCTTATGAAGCAGTCAGAATGATCAGTTTCATGAAATCTCAACTACTCAAGTGCATGTGTGACAAGGGGAGAATGAAAGAAGGCACTTCTGTGTTTCAGTGTACAGCAAAAAGACCCTGTGGGGTTGGTGTTGTGAGCCGAACTAACCACTCACGCCATGAAATACAGTTTGTACTTGAGAAAAATGACCAACAGAAATACTTCACTTATTCAAACTTGGATATTTGGCAGGTATTTTCTCTAAAAAGAGAATAACTGACCAGTATTTGTTGTTAATGATAAAATTCAGTCTTTCAACCATGAACTTGGATGTTTCCCATACTTAAAAAACTGAGTTGATCCATAGTGATACTAAACAGTGTGGGTTTTTTGAGACTGTATAATGAAATGTGTCAATATTTGAGAGATCTCTCTGATGAGAGTTTTCAAGTAATCAGTGCACAATATTATAAAATCAAGCATGGATGAAAGACCCACTTTAAGGCAAGATAGACTAATGGATTTTAATGTAGCAGAATGACTTGGACTCTTGGATTTGTACCCATTAACATGAATTTTCTAAAAGTTCTCAGTTGGGAGGCCTCATTATCTTAAATAGAAGTGTTCTGTTTAAGAACCCTGGCCTGGGAAGAAGACTGGCTTGGTGGTGGTGAATGCAGACATTGACTAATGGTGGAGTCTTGCTTTAATTTCATATTTAAATCTGGAGTCACCAATTTATTCAGACAAAAATGTTCATGGATATGGTTTTCAGATGCCACATTGTAACCAAACTTTTAACAAACTAGCCTTTGTCTAGTTTTAATGAAGTATCAAAAAGGAATGTTCACAGTTCTCTGTGAGAACTCTTAAAATAGCCTTCCCTTTTCAGTGATATATCTGAGTCTTCATTTACTTCATCTAAAACAACATATTGCAGCAGAGTGAAGGCAGAAGCAGAGATGAGAAGCCAACTGTCTTCTAAGAAGCCAGACGTTGAAAAGATTTGCAAGTGTTTAGATTTGCAGTGCCAGTCTCACTATTTCTTTGTTTTTAAGTTATTTTTATGAAAAATGTATTGTAATGTAAATTAAGTAATAAAGCACAATTTTTTTCTATTCTACTTTCAAATGAAGTAAACAGGTTATCAATAATTTTTATAAAGACTTCTGAGACTAAAATTTGAGTTCTACTGCTTTGGGTAATCTAATTTTTGTAGCTCACATATGATTTGGATTTTATTGAACAATAAAAATAAGTAATAAAGCAATTCATTGCCAAAAAAGTGCAAAGAAGTGCTTAAATGATGAAGTAAAGAACAAGCTCTTTGCTGCAAGTCTCAGGTATTTAATATCATTTATACAGAACATAGACCCTCAAATCTAGAGATTCACAATTTTTTTATGGGTCAAGCTGTAAATATTTTAGACTTTGGAGGCCACAGGGTCTCTGTTTCAACAACTCAGCTGTGCCATTATAGCTCATATGTACACGAATAAGTGTCTGTGTTGCACTTCAAGTTTATCTACTAAAATAGGCATGGCCTGCAGGTCACAGCTTGTCATCTCTTATAAATTTTCCCTAAAAGCATTGTAGGATTTTTTGATGGCACAGGGAGTTACTCTATATGCGTTCATTGCATTCCCAGAGTTTGATCATTTTGGTGCTCTAAACTGGAACTCCAATTCTTTTGGATTCAGGACTTGTCAATAAAAGCACTTTTTTCAACCATATTTTGGTAGGGTATGCATGGCAATTTCTACTCTTTAGGGAGTAGGAAGAAGAGTCCCAAGGAGGGAGCAGCAGGACCCAAGTGAAGAAGGCAAGCTTCCATGGGGTTGTGTCAGGTAGAGTCACAGTAAATGCAACATGCACATGACCATGTGGCTCCTATGCAAATCAGAAATACGTCACCTCACTTCTCACATGCAGGCCCCATTGCTGCCTTGAGCTGTGCAAGGGATGTTGAGAACTAACCACGGCCAATAGAGATTCCCTGAGTTCATTCACTTTGATTTCAGGCTGGATTCTGGGAATTTCAAGATGTGTGTTTATAGCTTTCCTTAAGCAAAGGGAATGTGTCCCCTCACTTCCTGCCCTGAATCTGATGAGCATCTTTCCTCTACCACTCCTTCTGTCTCCCCCTTGGCCTCGTGGCCTTGTTTTCACGAAACACCCTCTGCATGGTATTCACAGAAGTGGGAAGTCTGACTGCCAAGTGGAATGAAATGTGATGTCGGTATGCAGTGTAGCTTAATGGAGCATGGGGTATATTACAGAGTACAAGGAGCCCTGGCAGCTGGTGCCATTGGTGGTGTCTCCCAGCCTCCAGAACTGTACAGTCAGTCCAACCATGGCTCTAACAGTGTGGAAGCTCTAGGGTTGCTCACATACAGGGCTTCTTGGCATCAGCTGCAGTCTCTATAAGGCTGCATGGAAATCAGGGTTGGTTTTCTTTTTAAGCATCAATAGTCTTCACCAGAACATGACAATGTGGAATTGAAGCCTATGGCTTTCTTCCTATGAGAGGTGCACTTTGACCTCTATGTAGGCAGTACCAATAGATGCAACCAACCTCAGCAGTAAGAAGCTCTGTCCCAGCATTTTTACCTGCTCCTGGAGATCCACCTTCCAAATGTTTCAGAACCTTTGAGAGAATGGCTGTATAGACTATGTCACTTGTAAAGAGTGTGAGAAGACAACAAGCATCTGCATGTAACTTACAAGCTGCAGGATTACCTGGAAGTGAATGAATTTGTATACACACACAGACTCATGTGCTGCTTAACAAAGGAGCAGGTTCTAATAAATGAATCATTAGATAATTTCTTCACTGTATGAATATCGTGGAGTGTACTTACATAACTAAAATGACTACAGTGTCACTAGGCAATGTAATCTGTGGGACCATTATTGTATTTGTGATCTGTTATTGACTTCCATGCCCTACTGCTGTATTTCACTGTGTGTTTCTATGCTGATCTCCCTAGCCAAGATTTGCTTTAACATTTTTTCCTAGATTATGTCATTCTCTAGAGAAAAAAAAAGTAAGCTTGTCACTTATGTCCCCTAGATTCTCATGATGCAGTTTTGAGATTTAACTCTGCTCCTACACGTGGTTATGAGAAGGATGTTGGAAATAAAACCACCGTGCGCATCATTAACTCCCAGGTAAGATGGATGAAGTGTTTTCAACAGCACATTATGTAGGTAAATAGTTTAACTGGATGAGTGAACAGAAATTGCCTGGATATCCATGGAGATACATGCTGGTAGGTCTTGTAATTATAAAGAATTAATGAAGAAAACTGCAGAGAAATGGGAATTTAAATGTGGTATGAATAGGAAGAAATAAGTAAGATCAAAGGCAAAAATCAGTTTGTATAGACATGCCATTGTATACATGAAACTGAGAAAAAATAAACCAAAGCAACAACAATAAGAAAGATGTAACATCTACAGATTTATAGGATAACTTTGAGACTTTCTTTAGTCTGTTGTTAGGACATTTTAAGATCCCCCCCACAAAAAAAGAGTTTTTTAATTGGAAATGAAAATAACTCCTTTCTTTATGTTCTTAATAAGAATGGCTTCCAAAATTTATGGCAAAATTATTCTCAAACCACAACGATTTCTACAGTTTAAAAATATGTAAAATAAATGAGGTGGTGAGTGATTTATGGTGAATTGCTTGCAGAACAAACGATTAGCACACTGCACAGTTGGCTACGCCAGGCAGCCTGCAGCGAGGTGAGATACAATTACCACATTCCGCACCATTCACTTAATAACAGCTTCTCAGAGAGGAAGAGATAAGCCCCACCAAATTAAAATACGTGTTGCCCTAGATACAGTGTCACTTCAGAAACATTAAAATATAAAGAAAAAAAGTGGGTCTTTTCAGTGTGAAAAATTGCATCTTAAAGACTGAGAAAAAGCAACATGTTTTTCTCTAAAATGATAGCTTAAGAAAAGATGATTGACAGGTGACACTAACCAATCAATCCAGAAGGCCTGTGGCTGGTACTTTGGAAGCTTCCTTCACAACTTGGTTCACCCACACCCACAATGATGCCTCTTAATTACATGTCAAGGCTTTTGGAGAGCAGGTTGGGGGCCTAGATTAGCTAGGGAGTTAGGTCTTTGAATGGCTGGAGAATTGGTGTTTGTTGTTGTTGTTGTTGTTAAACTCTCATTTCCCTAAACATTCTTCGAGTGCTTTAGCAAGCAATGCCAGCCTTTCTCCTCTCCCAAAGGAAAACAGAAAACCTGAGCCATTTTTTCTTACTCTAGTTCCTCTTTTTAATTTTTACCAGTTTCTAAAACATTCTTTTGAAGAAGGAAGTACTGATTTAAAAAAATTTTTTTAATGTGTGCTTGCAGATTCTGACCAACCCCAGCCATCACTTCATTGACAGCTCTTTATATAAAGATGTCATTTTGGTGGCCTGGGATCCAGCTCCTTACTCTGCTAATCTTAACCTGGTAAGTGTTTCCTTGATGCCCTCAACCCAGTGGCCAGATAGTGCCGGTGAAACTGATCACAGGTAGGAATCGAACCCTTTTGAGTCACACCATCTTAATGCCATTACTGTAGTGTGCTTGGTGACCAGTTTTCATCTAATGCTAAAGTGCTTTCACTCTGGAGAGATGGGAAAATGTACATTTCTAAGTGCACAGAAATTCCTAGTTACACTGAAGGTTGGGATGATTAAACTCAAAATTGTTCCACTGTGATAGGACGACATCACACCCAGAAGTTGTTACAAGATCTTTAGAAATAAATTGGAAGTGTTTGACAAGAAGATTTACACTGGGCATCCACATTACCTTGTTGTCTAAATGGCCTGTCCCAGGTTTTTCCTGAACGTGTTTCTGTTTGGCTTCTGCTTTTAAGTCTGTTAAATTTTATGCAATAGAGCTCAGACAAGTTTATTGCTAGCCATCAAAATACAAACAGGTTGCATTTGGAACTCTAACAACACATTATCAACCTAAACAAGTAGATAGCTACCTGTGGTAGAATCTTGCAGGAAAAGCCAGTGAGCTTTTTGTAATGAGGGCTGGGAAAGATGGATGATGTTTTCCCTAGCAAGAGCTGCTGCTGGCTATGTCAACAAGTATCTTGTCTTTGATTTGCTGGAACCAGAGAGCATGCAACTTTCTTAAGATGAATGTGAGGAACAGGTCTTGGCTTCTCCAGAGATCACTTTGCAAGAGAGCCACCCAAGGTAGAACGAGTCCCTCCAAATGAGTGTGGGGGTTACTGTCCGTGTTGAGACTGGGCTGACATTCACCTCACATGAATGCTAATGGGTTGTCTACCAAAGGTGCAAACCCAAATCACCCTCAGAGTAGTTTTTAAAGTCAATCTGACAGAGCCCCATTTCCAGAAGTGAAGGACACAGCCTCAATGTGCATTTGCTGGGAACGCTTTCTGGTGATTCTCCTGTGCTGGCTTTACTGAAAACCAAGCACCAAGAGGCCTTAGAACATCTAGTTTTCTTCCCAGTCTGGGTTTCCCAGGCTTAAGCTCCATCAGCTTTCCAGCTGTTTGTGAAATGATGGAGCATTTCTGGCTGTTGGCCTTGTTTCTTCCTCACCCAAGTCCAGAGTCCAGAGCTGTCCCACCTGAGGTATGTGGGCAGTACCAAAATCCAAGTGACACAGTCCCTTACAGTGGAGCTGATGCTGCATGCCAGGAACTGGGGTGAGGCTGGAGAAGGAGGGATTCCTTCTGGTTCCACATTCCTCTTGCTTGTTTGCCAGTGCCACTAGGATTGAGGGCTTGGTTTATTAAAGAGGATCTGATACAGTCATGAGAAAGGTTTTAAAGTACCGATTGTTTTATCAGTGGAATATTACCCAGAATCTTAGTATCTATCCCATGGCATCTACCTGAAAGAAACATGGGGCTCTCTGAGTTCTATGAACTAAGCCTCTCATCAGATACCCTCCCCAAATCCCACATCATGGTGATACCTGACACACTTCTGAAGATTTTTGTTTCAAAACAACTTTACTAGCTTTTTTGTACAATGTACCTATAATAAATGTAGTGTACATTCAGTACTATTTACAAATTTATACCCTTGTGTGTCCATCATCATAATCAAGAAATAGAATAACTCCACCACCCCAAGAATTTCCATGTCGATCTAGCCTAGTCAGTCATTGTGGCCTTCATTCCAGACCCAGGCAGCAATGTTGTGCTTTCTGCACTATAGATGTAATTTGGAAAACTTATTTTTAAAATACCCTTCTTAAGCCCAAGGATGAGCACACTAGAACATGGACCAAATACGGCCACCAAAAATGCCTATAAAGTTTTATTAGAAAACAGCACACTCATTCAGTATGTACTCTCTATGGCTGCATCCACAGTATGGGGTAGATTTAAGTAGTAGCCACAAAGACCACATGACCCTTTGCAGAAAATGTCTGTTTACCTTGATCTAGCCCATCTCTCTCATTTTACCAAAGAATAAACTCTTGTTTGTACTACAATGCTGATCTCTCTCGAACTTGTCCTCCATCTCTAAGGAAGCATCTACAGAAGTGATGAGTCATGGTCTTTCCCCTCCTTCTGGCTTCTGCCAGGCTGCTCAGTTTTAAATCTACCTGCCTACATGCTGTCCTGTCTCCTTTCCACAGTGTTGTCCTCTGCCCTTGATTGAATTGTTTATTTATTTTTTCTTAGTGGTACAAGAAACCAGATTACAACTTGTTCACTCCATATATTCAGCATCGACAGAAAAACCCAACTCAGCCATTTTACATTCTTCATCCTAAATTTATATGGCAGCTTTGGGACATTATCCAGGAGAACACAAAGGAGAAGATTCAGCCAAACCCACCATCTTCTGGTTTCATTGGTACGTGTATGGCAAAATTGGAAAGAATGGGTGGGTGAGCAGGATGAGACCTCATCTTTAGTAAATACACAGCCATATTATACAGTAAGAGCCACTAACAGGTGGCTTTGGAGACTAACCAAGGAAAAGAGAAACACTCTGTCTCAGTTATCTGTTACTGAGTCACAGACTACTAAAAAATTTCAAGCTTTCACATGAAAACTGCTGTATTTTCTCTCATGGTTTTGTGGGTCAGGACTGGCCTGTCTGGGTGATTTTTTGCATCCCCTGGTGTCAGCGGTGTCTCTTGGTAGTTTTCAGCTACTTCATGGGATGGTCACACTTTTAGTCTAGCTCCCTTGCTGGGACAGCTAAGAGCAGGCTCACCTGGCACTGTTGGCCAAGTGCCTGCATGTCATCTTTTTCTCATGGTGACTTCTTATGAGGCAGCTCAGTGACACTAGGGAGAGTGGTTCAAAAGACAGGAAACAGAAACTGCCAGTTTCTTAAGGCCAAAGTCTGGAGACTTGCACAAAGTCACATGGTGCTATTCTGTTGGTCAGAGTAATCTCAGGACTACCACATTCATGGAGAGGAAACATAAACCCCACCCCTTGATGGGAGGCAAGGGAGGCATGTGAAGAATTTTTTACCCACTGTCTTTGTTTATGGAAGGCCTGACTGATGAGCTAAACATGTGACTCTTGGAGGTTCGTTACATTGCAAGATTCCTGGTAGGTAAAGGCTTTGCTGAGACTACTTCCAGTACCTCATCAAGCTTTCTCAATCAGAGAGTCACTGGCTCTAATATCCAACAATGGATTATATACAGCAAGATAATCATACTTGGCTGGTATTTTTTCAGCCTGACTTGGATCCTCAAAGTTTGTGGTTTTGCCAAATTTCTTCATGTTTTGACTTATCACCCTATTATTTCCTTGATATTACCTGAGATGGGCAATATTAAGGCATATTTTAGATCTGCCTGGGAAAATTAAAGGTCACAATACAGCCAAAGTATATTGGTTTTGTTGCCACCTCAATTTTGATGAATTTATAACCCTGCACCTTCCTTGAGCTATGTAGCAGGTCCTGTGAATAAAGGGGAGATTTATGGAGACAACACTAGTTTGATTTTGGTTGCAGGACATACACCACATATCCTGAAGTGAGGCTTGCAGGTTTGGGAGGGGTTCATAGTACTGTAGTAATGTGAAATATTTTACATAGAATTCAAGAAAAACCCTACAATATAACTACATGTTTTTTTTTCCTTAAGCCCTGGTTTTCCCTGCTCTTTTAAAGTCATGCCTTTGACACTGTTTCTAATAACTCTTAAAATCTCAAATTCTTTATCTTTTATGTAGTTTTTAGAATCCTGTGGGTTTAAGAAGAAAGTATTTGTTTTGTCAGCAGAGAGTAAACAGTATAGAATAATGCATAGACAGCATATTAGTATATGTTTGATAAAGGACAAGTTTGATACTGTCTTTTTCCATATCATCATCTTGAATTTATATAACTAGCATTTGATTGGGGGAAAAGTTTTAATGCATAATTGGGCAGGAAGAAAATGTCAGATATAATTATTATTGGCATGTAGTTTCAAATTTTCAAGTTAGATTATTGTAGCCAAGAAAAGTCCTTTCCTGTGTGTTTTTGTTGAAAGAAATCACACCACATATGGCCAGCTTCCGTTCATTGCTATTTACTGAGAACCTGGAGTTTGCAAAGACTCATGATTGCCTTTAGGGCATTGGAAGAGTGTAAATTGGGGTTGCCTAGGTTTGAGATGGGATTCTTCTCTGCCACTAGCTAACTTTCTGAACTTGGGCAGGTTGCTTATCCTGTGACCTTCTATATTCTTTGAAGAAAAATGGGTGTATAATACAGGCGCTCTAAGGGTGAGATAGCTGGCCAATTTGCAATCAGTATTTTCAAGCACTGTCTTGTCTAATAACGGCAGCTATTACTCACACGTGACTATTTAAATTTCAATTAATTTGAATTGAATAAGAAGATAACAAGTGCTTCTGAGTCTTATTAACCCCATTGAAAGTTCTCAGTAGTTTCCTGCTGCCATATTGGGCAGCGGGGATAGGGAACATTCCCATTATCACAGAGAATTCTAGAGGATAGCACTGATAAGTTGTGCCAATCAAAAAGAATAAAGCCACGTGTGGTGGCACAAACCTCTAATCCCAGCATTTAGGAGGTGGAGGCGGGAGGATCTTGAGTTTGACAAGGCCAACCTGGGTTACGTAGGGAAACCCCCATCTCAAAAACCAAGGCATGTGGACTTAGCTCAGTGGTAGATCACTTGCCTGGCATGTTCAAGGTCCTGGGTAACCAGCACCACAAAAAAAAAAAAAGAATGATAAACAGCAAATTCATAAGAAATCATTAGGTTCCCACTGGGCAGGTGGGTGGGAATTGAAGATGTGATCGAAGACATAGTCTGGCTACATTAAATTCACTAGCTACCCTTGAACCTCACCATAGTTAAGTACATGAGATCTCGCCAAGCACGGACCTGGTGACTTTTGCCAGCACCCTTGAGTACCCCCGATGCTGCTGGAGTCTTTGTTCTGGATCAGAAATATGCTGAGAATTAGTGTCTGATTTGTCATTTATCTGCTGTTCTTTAATAGTAACGGAATGGTGTCATCCTTATCTCAATTTATCTGCCATGAAGAACTTTTAAAAAACCAGTGAGTTTTCCCCCATTATCAAAAAGTGTTCTCAAATGCCTCTTCATATTCTAAAGTCACATTGAAAAGTACTGACTTCTTGTCTCAGCACGTCCTCATCTCCAAGCTCTCCCACCTCTGACATAAGCTCCAAAGAGCTGTTAAGAAGAATTAGAATGTTTCAGTTTGCACAGCCTAACGTGCCCAGGGTGTCCTTGTCCAGAGTCAGCACCATGGTAGCTTCCATCCTTGGTGTCCCACTGTTGTCATCCACCTTGGGCTCCACTGGGCAGTGGGAATTTCTTTCTTCGCTGATGTGCTCATCCATGAGCATACTGTACTTCTAAACCCCTGCCTACATGTTCTTACACACGTTTAGGAATCTGCATGTGTGAAATAGACTCTGAATGTTGACTTTTTTAAACACAAGACATTTCTTTGTATGGAAGTAGGTCCAATGGGAGAGTTAGGTTCCCAGGGAGATGCCCTTGAACCCCTTAAATGTAGTGCTGCTGGTGCTTTTCAGAGGCTCATTACTGGGGCCTGAGTTCATCACATAGGAGGAAGGAGGTAAACAAGGAAGGGGAGAGGCCTTCATCAATCGTGCTACTTCATCACCTCAGGTACCCCAAGCACTGGGCTGGGCCCCAAGGGTCTGGTGGTGAGAAAACCAGGCAAGGATCTTGCCCACCTGGTACTTGCAGTGCAGTGCAGGCATTACACAGACGCATGTGTAAGGTAAGATATAACTGCAAACTGTGATGAGTGCAATGAAGGAAAAAGCAGTGCATCAAGGCCAGGGAGTGCCTGTTTTGCCCATCTTTGAGCTCTTATTCTTAGCTTGGTACATACTATATTTAAAAATTACAGTTGTCTCTACATAGCTGTGGGTTCCACACCCACGGAGTCAAGCAACACTAAATAAATAAATAAATAAATCACAACTGTACTGCCTGTGTACAGACCTTTATTCATGTCATTATTCCCTAAATAATATAATATAGTAATTATTTTCATAGTATGTACCTTGTATGAGGTATTGTAAATCACCGAGAGATGACATAAAGTATATAGTAGGATGTGCAAAGATTATAATGCCAATACTACACCATTTTATGAATGACTTGAACATCCTTGGATTTTATTATCTTCCAGGGGTCTTGGAAACAAGCCCCTCAGATATTGAGGAATGATTGTATTTGGTGAATGAATGTGTATTTTTGTTCTCAAAACTTAGCATTTATCACAATAACTCATAAGTTTCTATTATTAGTAATTCATTGCTATAAAGTAAAACTTGGATACTGAACAAAACAGTAAGAATTTCTTACCATGCAGTTTCTGTGGGTCAGCAATCTGAGGCCAGAACGGCTGGATGATTCTGGCTCAGTTTCTCATGAGGCTGCCATCAAGTTTGGCCTAGACTGCCAAGATGGCTCACTTGTATGGCTGTTGGCAGGAGGCCTCAATCCTTTGTGGATACAGGGCAGCTTGGGCAATCCCCGCAACATGGCAGCTGTCTTCCCAAGAGCAGGGGATCCGAGAGAGAACAAAGGCGAAACCACAATGCTTTTATGATGTCATAAACTATCAGACTTGCTGCATTCTGTTTGTTACAAAATTCAGCACCCTTGCTATGGGAGGACTGCCTGGAGGCAGGCAGGAACCATTGGGAGACATTTTGGAGGATAGCTACCACAGCTTTTCAAAGCAGATTACTAGGCTGACCCCAGAGATTCTGAGAAGGTGGAGGTGGTGAGAACTTTGATTTCTAACAAGTTCTCAAGTGATGCTAATAATGCTAGTCCTGGGACCACACTTTGAGAACCATTCTTTTAACTTTTTAGAACCCCGTCATTGGGAGAACTTTAGAAATCTGGTTCCTAGGGTGTGTATCGATAGATATATCAGCAAATTAGTAAACACTGGGATCAGTGGGAGGAGCCAGATTTCCCATTTTCATTTATTCCTATTGATTATTTATTATATTATTCAAAACACAATTGGAATGATTATTTTTATTTATGTATAGTTAAACTATGAAGAATTACTAAAATATAGCTTGTTTATCTATCTTTGTCATTTAAAATTATATAACATTAAATCTTACCTTCTAGCTCTCTTAGATTTTTAACTACAGATATAATTGTTATTTTGTTTCTTTTGAAAACATAGCTATAAAATTTACTGATTACTAATAAAATCATTTTATGTTCTTAAAATTAATTGTGAAATGACATACATAATAGCTAACTATAAATGGGCTCCTTACAAGTAGCTTATTTGCTTGCTTGCTTTTATATCCTAGTTTCTTGGGTGTACTGATTAGTG